GTATAGGAAAATAGAATATTGTACCACGGAATATTGATCTTCTGAATACATGTAAGTATTTGCCTTCAGCTTCCTGTTACTACTGCATGCACAAGTTTTCAATTCTGGTAGTTCTCAATAAGACGATATAGTGAAGAATTCCTAACTATGAAAACCCTGATTAATTTTGAATGTTTATCCTCAGCATCCCTGGGAACAAACAGTTTTTTAAAGGGCTGTCTTAGAATACCTTCTTTGTATTTTGATTAACCAGTTAAACGGTTTTTTTTTAAAAAAAAGAGCTTGGCGAGTTAATGACATTGTTTAAATAAGCCTCATTTACTTTAACAGAGCTTCACATTGTCTCACATATTATCATCACCTAAATTCCATTTAACAGATGAAAAATCAAGATCACACAATAAGAATAGGATGCATTTCACCTGATTTCAGCCATCTACAAGTCAGCCATCTATTCTAAGTTGGTTGTGTAGGCTCCCTTTATCACAAGACATATAAACATCCTGAGACAGTGATTCACCTTTCACGAAGAGCTAGAGACGTCCTAGCGTGAAGGGTCACCACACTTCAATATGTATGTTCATCAAACTACATCTGAACTTGTTATACTTTGTTCCATAAAAAGGGCCTTAATTTTTCATGAAGATTGGAACATATTTCCAGCATTGTTCTGGGAATGGTACTGATCATGGTTATGTTGATATGTAAGAAAAACTCCCGCTTCTTACTGCAAGACGAGAAATGGTAAGATGCAATAGAACAGGGAGAAGAAAGTTTGTGATCAAGACAGGGCCCTTCATCAAAGAAGATCTCCAGGAGTTTTTCCTAGGAAAGTAACACTACCACTGTATATGTGACCAGGGGAAAACTCAAGCTCAATGTATTCAAGCTTAATTTTTTTTTTTTTTCCTGAGGAACATAAGGATAGCTTTACTGAAGCAAACTCAGATTTAGTTAATCCAGAAAAAATGCCTGGATCCACATTTGTCTTTGCCATCTCTAATGGACAAGAAAGAGCTGTACATTAGAAGTGTTTATCCTACAAATCCTACATTGGGCTTTACAGAGAGTACTCAAAAAGAGGTCTCTGTATACTTCCAGACCTTTGACCTAATGGCTTGAACTAACGGGATCAACCACAGTAGTACATAACCTCATAGCCTTAAGGAATTTACAATAATATTTACATACAGGATTCCACAATTGGACCAACAAAACCAGCTGAATATGTTGGAAATAAAGAATTTGTTGAAGAACTTCCAAATCTTTATATCTGTATAAGTCTCCTTCATCTGCTCTTGTACGGTAGGGTTTCTGTTTTACAGAACAATATGGTAAGTCAAACTAAAAAGCCAAAAATCCGAAGGGTGCGTTGCTCCCAGCAGGAAATGCCTGGGTTTTTTGGCGGGGTGGGGGAAGGGGGGAAGGTAGATGAAGGAAAGAAAGAATGAGTCCAAGCCCTGAAATAAGCAAAAAGCTTTTGTCAGCTGGAGAAATTTGCCATATATAGATTGTGTGCTAACACAGTTAACACATTGCCAAGTTAGCACAGGCTGCCAGAATATTTTCAAACACTGGACTAAAGAGAGCAAGATTTTTATCTGAAAAGGAAATCAGAGAACCATGAAATCCTAAGTAGTTTCATGGACATTATAATTTTAATTTGAAGCCTGTAAAACGGAAAACCAAACCTCGTGAGATGACTGGGGGTAGGACTACACAACACAGGCTACAAAAACAACATTACACATTGGGGCAGAAAGGCACACACGAGATGTCCTCATACCTTGAACCACTTAAAGCCAAAATGGTTGACCTCATGCACTGATAACAGCTTCAGACAGGCAGTGATGTGGCAGAACGGAAGAAAACAAGATACACAGAAGAGAGGAAAGAAAAAGCATGCTATTAAAAGCAAATTATAATCAGTTTGGATAACATTAGAATATTAAAATCCACATAACTTCATTCATACTTGGTCTAAGAACAACCTTAACCTATTATCATAGTTTGTAAAAGATCACAGGATTTGCCACTATTTTCCTATTAAAAAAACCCAGAGGTCTGCCTTTGTAAACTGTTAAGTTATTTAAGTGAGGCTTTCATAATTTGACACAAAATCTCCACGGAACATGAAACAAAGAGGACATTCTTTTAAGTAACGGAAGGAATGTAAAATGAAAAGCATTTGAAAAAGAAGTCCTCTCCTCAGCTTGGAAAAACAGCTACTTGCCATCCCTCTGTTACCCGACTGTATTTCATTGATACCAAAGCAAAATCGTGTTGGACAAAATGGGACACAACAGTTTTTTTGATGCTAAATGCAACATGTCACTCAGGTTGCTTTTCTTTCACAGTCTTGTTGGTCATATTTCATAAGCTATGTCTGGTCACAAATCACAGTTTGGTTCCTCTGCTGGAGTACGTCACAGCTGTCATAATCAGTGCCGGTATGGATGCTGAGCTCTCTCTCCCTTCTGATCCTGCTGCTTTCAATACATCCTTCCTCCTCTTCCTCACTTCCATATACACTACTACACCCAATTTCCTTTCCTTTTTAAGATGCTGTAGTCTACCAAATTCTACCAGCCTTTCCCCCCAAAACTTACCCCTCTTGTCTCTTTTCCTCTCCTCACAATCCCTTTCACTAATATCTTTCTCACTAAGCCTTATGGCTTAATGACCCTCAGGCTGCACATTTCCCTGCCTTGCCTCGTCTTTCAGATTGCACACCCAATTCAACTTTTCTATTCACCACAAAGCTGTTTCCTTTTCACTAAGCTCTGATCATCTAATCTGAGCACCCCTCATTAAGCTTTGCTGGTGAACTCTCGGAAAGCCTTCTTACTGTCAAATGAAAAACGTGCACGTATTCTATAAGTACTGTTCTTTCCCCATATTTTAGCTTTAGGGCCTCTCAGGAAAACAAAACTTTATTTCCATGACAACAGTTCCTTATTTTACTAGTTCAGACTCATCTTTTCTGCTGTCCACAATAAATCTTTTAACTAACAGCTCACGATGGACAGACATCCATGAATAGTTTATGCTCAACAGGCTAAAAAGGAGTTCTTCCCATCCTGTGTCTAAAATCTTCCTCACTACTTCTTTCTTTTTTTATCTAGGACTCAGCTTTCATATTTGTGTTAATCCTGATGTCATCTTTGACTCAGGCGTCTTTCTAGACCTTGCATAAAGGTTATATTTAAAATTCTGCAGAATTTCTTCTACCAAATGTCTCTAATACAAGCTCTTTCCAATTGCGTCTATATAGCTAAAGTTCTTTAGTAGGATTAGATTCATGTCTGAACCTTTGAAAAAAGCTTTCTTGTGCAGGTCATGCCCATTTGTGCAATAATCTTGTCTGTAGCTTTGATCATGTTAATGCTACTAGCACCTCTTTTTGCTAGTGAATGAAATACAAGCGATCATCCTTTGCAGGATGCACTCAACTCACTTTTCAAAACTGATATGACCGGCTCACTGTGATCAGCCCCTAATACTAGCCTACATCATGCATGCATCAGTTTTCAAATGTTCACCTTTGTGCTTACTCCCATAACTTCAGATGCATTAACAGCTACAAAATTAACACACGGTACCCTTCTTCAAAACCCTTCCGCAAAAACCTTGCCATTGAACCTTCTGCATCTTGTTCTGTTTTACTAGCACAGCCACCACAAAAGGGTGTGTTTTACGGGTTTCTATGTGCTAAAAGAATATGAGTAATTGTCTCTCTCTCTTTTAACAAAGAAATTAAAATACTATGACAACATAGCCATCATATTACTTCCTTTTTGGTTACTTTTGCATCTCGGCATAAAATTTGTTTCTTTGTGAGATAAACATTTTTCTTACAAGGAGATCTATGCTTTGATGTGGTATTTACTACCTATTTAACATTTCTTCTTTATACAATTTTTTTTAAGCCAACAAAAGGGATGGAAAGAAGACCTCTTGCTAAGTGAATTCCTAATGTTGTCTAGGATCTTAGAGTACAGCAACTAGAATTTTCCTTGGAATAGGTCTACCGGCAAACAATTGAGCTTGACTCTATCCTAAACATAGAAACAGCTACTTTCCTCCTGAAAGCCTAAATTATTAACTAAAAAGAAGACACAAATATCTCAGGGAGAGTATGCGATAGAAGAACACATTTTGAAAAAACTTTGCAGAATGTTTTAAATTGCAGTTAGTCAGGACTACTTTCATTTAAATAACAAATGGAAAGAGAAAATGCCATTGCGGCTTAGCTGACCAAACGCTCCTATTTGCTAACTAAGGTCAAACAAGGAACAGTGTAACTGTGGAAAAACAAAGAGGCTCAGCAAAGCACAGTAAGAATGTCAGATTCAGCTTCTTCTACTTCAAAAGTACTATCAAAATCTCAGGGAAGTTGACTCAACAAATATGGTATGCTTTCTTGATGATTACTTACGGAAGTCAAAACTAGGCACATATATGATCAGTGATACAGAATAAATCCATGCATAATATCTTACACCTGTGGCTTCAACAGACAAGCGTGTATTTTCTGTGTATATGTTTAAGCCAGAGGATTTGTCTCTCTCCAGTAGTTTTGCAATTGCAAGCACAATGAGATTGTGGTCCATAAACAGGACTTTTAAAAGCTATGTTAATAAAAATCATCATCTTCAAATATGTGCAATGAACAGTACAGTGTGTGTGTGTATGTTTACACATAGGAAAATAGATGGCCAATTGATAGCAAGACAGGTCAGAGGAATTTTTACGTAAAATACTATTTTAAACCACAGGATACCTTACATTTGTTTTTATTTTCAAAAAAAAATTACTTGGAAAAAACACATTATCGTGAAAGCTTTGCCGACTTTATGGGCTGTTACCTAATGTTTGAACAGAGATTTAGGATCATCAAACAAAACCAGCTGTGTTTTGCAGGAAAGCAGGTAAAATACTACTTTACTGTCAGGTTACTCTCCTAAGAGGATTACCAGTGACTTTGTAAGATTGCAGACCTGTTTCTCAGCATTGATCCTGGCTGACTCCTCTTGTGCTAGCACCATTTCCCGCTCTGCAGTTATCTGAACACTTTCTCTGAGTGCCTCTTCCAATTCTTCAATCCGATCATCCTTTTTGCGTAGATTGTCCTGGAAAATGATGGGAGACCAGGTGAAGAAGACTTGTTTGAAGCCTTTTAATCAACCAAGTTCTATGCCAACCAAAACGTGTTTCTCCCTCCCAAGGTGCAACTCCAGGCAAAATATCTTCACACAAAGGAAAAAAAGATGAAGTGATGCAAGAGAAGGAAGAAGCATTTAGTAAAGTGAAGGAAAAAGCTAGCAAAGCAAGACAGATATGTTTGCCCTCTGTGTCTGACATATCACAGTCTTTCCAGATTATGCAGCATAGACAAGCAGGAGTTATAAAGATTAGTGTGCAGTTCCAGAGAAGCATAGTAGCCAGAATTGGTGGGAAGGTAGCAGGCGTTCAGATTTGCCCATGTGCTCACACATTCACCAGAAGGCGTGGTAAAAAGGGAAATATAGGAAGGCAGTTTTGTAATTTGCCATTTCCAGGTTAAGGGGTAAAAAAGTAAGCATTAATCCAACAGAGTTTTCTATTGTTCAGATAAGTCTTTAAAGAAAGTCTTTCATCAATAGCTCTCTTGGAATTATGAAATGTCCATCAGAGCAGTCTGAATCTTAGGCATCCAAAGTATCAACATTCCCTGAAAATTTATTATTTGATTGAGCGCATCTTCACAGTTGCAAGTTTAGATGTCCCATTTACTTTCAAAGGCCACTGAGGAAAAGTGTTTTGCTTCTCAGAAAACATACCACTTGAAAGGTTTATGCAAACAATGTAGTTTAGAAAAAATGTTATACAAAATACATGATGTTCTTTTTTGTACAGGAGAACCTGCTTATCTGAATATTGCTAAGAAAATAAATGCCTGTCTCCTGCCTCTGCTGTAGAAGCTTGGACAAAAGACTGCAAAGAAGGCTGCCCTGACAGGTATGTATGAATGTCTTGGAGCATGGCAGCTTAACACGTTCACCGGAAAGGAACAGGTTGAAGAAATGTTTATGTATTTCTTGTCCTGCAGATCGGTTTAGATCATATGGTTAAGATCAGATGTTTAGTGCACATGTTTAAGTTACCATAAGGGCTTTTTAGCCATCTCAGCAGCAGTGCAAGAATTAAGCATGTTTTTGCCTTTGCATTGGACTTTTTGTCAGATTCACACTTTTGTCTTCTGTCCTTTTTTACTTAGGACTAAAATTTTCCACTGTTTCCTTAAAGGATAAGGAAAAGGATGACTGTCTTGGAAGAAATCTGACTTTGCGACCTTCACAATGCTAAAATTATTCATTGGAGTTTAAAGAAAGATCCTGACTTATTCCTTAATTTCTGCTTTCTAGAACTTTGAATACATTACCGAGGATACTAACATACGAACACCGTTTCTGGCTGTCTCGCGACTGCCACTTTGAACTAGAGGGTTTCAGCAGACAGACAAAGCTTTGTGTCAGACCAGTGCAAGACCTCCGGAACCATTGCTATTAAGCAGAGAAAGGCTGGTATTCAACTACTAGCACAGGCAACAGCACTTGTTAGGCTTTGCAATCAGAGGAGCTTTCAAAGTCGTACTTCTCAAAGTGGATTCACAGGGCAAGTAATTGCCCCAAAAGCAAAATACATATGGAGATACTTTCATCTCAAAAATATGAGTTGCAGAGCATGGTTTCATACCTTTTGAATCCTTCTGAAACACTGATAAAACTTTCCAAAATTACCTCATGGCTACAATTACCTTAACCAGAGACTCTTTAAAAAGATGAAGAGACAGCTCGCAAAAAACTCAGCACAGAATACTAACAGTGCCACACATGAAAAATACTTACTTGCCTATCTGCATTACATGAAAAATATCAACTCCCCTTGAGTTATTATTCCTGGATAGGAAGTGTACCCCTCCATTTCAAACAATAGACCTGGGAATAGTTCGTTTGAACAGCTGCTGGTTTAAAAGAAGGAAGCAGAATTAAACATTCTAAGGGTAAATTCCGGGTGTACACTCTTCTGCGCTCTTTATCACAGGCAAACAGTTAAAAATTTACATTCAGAATATACATGCAGACAGCAGACAGTTCAGATAGCATACTACACAGACAGCTGAACTCTAAGGGACAGGAACAAGAACAACTGAACCCTACTGATGGTTCCAAAATGGACCAAGACAGTGCCACATTATGTATGAATGCAGATTTTTCAACAACAGATAATGTAATTATTTTTCCTAAAGTAATATACAAAATTTTTACATATATGCTACGGAGTTGCAAGTTTATAGAAAATCTAGCGTTAACTTGCAAATGATTGCCAATGAATTTTTAACCATTTTAAAATTTAATCTATGAACTACTAATAACCTATTCAGTAAGGAGAGTTTATTTAGGAATTTTTTCTCAGACAAACATACTTAAAAGAGCCGTGACAGTTTACTTGTGTTCGTAACGGTAGCACAATAAATCTACTCACCTGGTCCTACAAAATGACATGAATGCCTGGAACGTGTAGCAAGTTGTTGCACAGCCAGATAACACCAGCACTCCAAAGTGCAGATAGTTTCAAGAGATTTTAAAACAATTCTTTTGCTTCTAGCTCTTTGTTTCATGATTAATTGATCAGTATTTGATATTTTCTAGTATAAACTACAGTTTCAAACCAAATATATTAATGGAGAAAAAGTAAATAAAAGCAAACCAGCATTTTCCTTTTAATAAACCATCACATTTTTCCAATTGTTTGGCTCTAAACTCTAACAAGACAAGCTCATGATGAACTTCGACCTGTGCTACTACCATTTCCCTCTTTTTAATCACATTATTGTGACATGCATTAACTTTTGAAGAAAGAACTGTGTTAATTATGACTACCTTTACCCACTAAGTTATTTCAGAAGTTTCCTATTACAAATTGTTCTGGAAAACTCAACAATTTTCTACCCAGTAGGCTCAAAATAGGAGTTCAAGAAGAGAACAGAGATTTGAAACCTTTCAAATGTGAATAGAAAACAAATGAACCTTCTGCAGCTGAAGAGGCTTTGATAACACAGGCACTATACTCACTGCAGGAAAAAGAAAATAATCATGATTTGCCATATGCTGATAAAATAGGTAATCCCTGATAATCAAAAGGACTGATCCTCTGAAGTAGTAGACTAGAGTAGAACTAGAGTTGCTTCAAAAACGCTTTAGAATGTGATATTGAGAGCAAATTCATAACCTTATATTTTGATAAAATTGCAGAATGATGGACTGTAGCAGTCTCCTTTCATGAAGCTTATATAGATGACTATTCAGAAAGAAAAAGAAACCTGCACAGTAACTGGATTCTTCAAGACGTATTGCCTACCTATGTACATTCTCGACCCTCCCTCGCCCTCCTCTGACCCCAAGTTGCATATTCACGAGATTGCATGGCAGAGATGGAACTAAACTGGGATAAAGGAGATGGTTCAGCCTTTATGTTCATTGGTGATAGCACAAAGAAAATGAAAAACCCAACAGACACTGTGGGAGTGCCGAGTTCGAGCACAATATAAATTTTTGCTACAAGTACTGTGATCTTGAAGTTGATTTGTATGCAAATCCCATCCCCAACACTTAAACATGTATTACTTACTTAAAGCCTTAAAGGAAAGGAAGTTGTGAATGACACACTTTGGGGCTTTTGCTATCACCTCAGGAAAGAAATAAGTGGTAGGATGTCCAAGTGATATATGTTAACAGCATACATCAATTTCATCTGGCCTGCATTCATGTAATGTGTAATCTGCCATGAAGTTTTATGAAAGTGCATGAAATAGGATCTCTGTTTTCACCAAGGAGTTTAGGTTCAATTAAATTTGAGATAACTTGGCAGACTACTTCATAACTGTCTTGACCTAGACTGAAAATGGTCTTTATGGTCTTAATTGTACCCTTGGAATTGGAATTAACATGGATTTCTCTAGTTAACTCTTGGAAAAGATTAGTCAATAGTTTGATAATGCAATGAACTGCTTCTTCTGACTGCTAAAAATATTTCTATGAGGAGCCAATCACCCAAGTATGGAAAGATCATTTTCACGTAATCCCTTAATTAGCAATAGCATATTTGGTCCTTGTCCTTTCATAGACCAGAAGGGAAGAATACAGTATTGGAACTGCTCCTGTCTAAGGAAATGGTGAAGTTTTTACACTGCAGAAATACACAAGCACTTATCCCTGTGAACTGCTCCTCTTCCTTACCATGTATTTCCTCGAATAGTCCCCTATACAAGGAATCTAATGATAATTAACTCTGTCCATTTTAAATCAGAATACAACCCTCCCTAGGAAGAGGAATTCCCCCATTCTGTGCATAGACTTTCCGCTAGGTAAGTGGAACCTAGGAACCCAAGACTGTCAGTTGCCTTAATACAGCCTTACGCTTCATCCTGGATGCAAACTGTCATTCAGTTACGGGTAAAGAAAACTCTTCACTAACATTTGGAAGCAGCCCTCCTACAAATGTTCAGAATTTTTCACTGTTTAAAAATACGAGGTCCTGGTAATCTGCAATTCTAAACTACATGCTGGTTGAGCAACATATTTCTTTCATACATTAAAATCTTACTCAGGTTCTTCCATAAAGTTGCCTTGCTCCTGTCTTCAGCTATAACCAGAACAAAATGTGAAGAGCAAAAAGTCCTACTGCAGCCAGCCCATTACTCAGGACTTCAGATTTGTCACCTCTGCAGTCTACGATAAGATACCTGCACCAAAAGACTCTCTCTAAAATATGGAAGGTGGGTTTCTGCAGTGTTGCTGCATTATTGCACCACTGAAGTCAGAAGGAAAGATCTTATGACAAAATGGGAAGGCCACTCTCCAGAAGAACACAATTTCTTAAGAAGTTTTAAGCTAATGTGATGGATGGTACTATAGTCTCATTTATTTTGAGAAGCAAATAATCAGTGCAGCATAGCTCAGCTGAGCATGGCAGACCTACTTCATTTAGTTCCTCATGCTGACCAGCTACTTAAGTAAGTCTCTGAACAAGAAAAGCATGAAGAATTTCTCCCTCTGTGAGTAACAATATATTTTATACAGAAGATAGA